CAGGGGGGGGGCAGGGGGACGAACGACACGACACGACACGAAAATTAGCCTGGCGAAGGACCCAACCATATGCAGTTGAGAGTACCGCAATTGTGAATAGCTTCTTCGGTGGCGCTCCCTATGGGGCCACGAGCCGTATGAGGGGTGTGCCGAAATGCGTGGCAGTGTACACAACACGAACGAAGACGATAGGTCCGAATATGAAAGCTTGAGCGCGTGCGAGTCGGATCGCGAGCGAGTCTGATTATGAATGAATCTGCGCGCGATTGATTCTATTCGCATGAATGCGTGCATGGATACGCCCAGTGTAAATGTATGTATACGACTGTGAACAGTTTGGGTCTGCGTGACTCTCGGTACTCGTGACTCTGAGCGTCGCCTCTGCAGGGGGCTTCCCTGGGAACCCCGACGGCAGCGCCCGCGCGCCGCGACGCCCATGTCGGCACGCCACACACCTGGTGTGCGGGACGCATGCGGACGGCAGCACTGGGGCCTTCGGTGGAGCTCCCTGTGGGCCACGAAACGTGAGAGGGGTGTGCCGAAATGGGTGTGCGGGACGCATGCGGACGGCAGCCAGGGGGCCTTCGGTGGAGCTCCCTATGGGGCCACGAAACGTGTGAGGGGTGTGCCGAAATGGGTGTGCGGGACGCATGCGGACGGCAGCACTGGGGCCTTCGGTGGAGCTCCCTGTGGGGCCACGAAACGTGTGAGGGGTGTGCCGAAATGGGTGTGCGGAACGCATGCGGACGGCAGCCATGGGGCCTTCGGTGGAGCTCCCTATGGGGCCACGAAACGTGTGAGGGGTGTGCCGAAATGGGTGTGCGGGACGCATGCGGACGGCAGCACTGGTGCCTTCGGTGGAGCTCACTGTGGGGCCACGAAACGTGTGAGGGGTGTGCCGAAATGGGTGTGGCGGGACGCATGGGCGCGGGACGCAGCCATTGGGGCCTGCGGGGAGCTCCCTATGGGCCACGAAACGTGTGAGGGGTCTGTAGCCGAAATGGTGTGTGCGGGACGCATCGGACGGTCTCACACAGGCTTCGTGGAGCTTCCCCGCATGCGGGCCACGAAACGTGTGAGGGGTGTGCCGAAATGGAGTAGTGCGGGACGCATGCGGACTGGCAGCCATGGGGCCTTCGGTGGAGTTCCCTATGGGGCCCCGAAACGAAAACGTGTGAGGGTGGTGTGCCGAAATGGGTGTGCGGGAGCATGCGGACGGCAGAACTGGGGGCTTCTGGGGGCCTTCGGTGGAGCTCCCTGTGGGGACACGAAACGTGTGAGGGGTGTGCCGAAATGGGTGTGCGGGACGCATGCGGACGGCAGCCATGGGGCCTTCGGTGGAGCTCCCTATGGGGCCACGAAACGTGTGAGGGGTGTGCCGACATGGGTGGTGGGGAGGCATGCGGACCCTGCCACTGGGGCCTTCGGTGGAGCTCCCCATAGGGACACGAAACGTGTGAGGGGTGTGCCGAAATGGGTGTGCGGGACGCAGGGCGGACGGCAGCCATGGGGCCTTCGGTGGAGCTCCCTATGGGGCCACGAAGCGTGTGAGGGGTGTGCCGAAATGGGTGTGCGGGACGCATGCGGACGGCAGCACTGGGGCCTGCGGTGGAGCTCCCTGTGGGGCCACGAAACGTGTGAGGGGTGTGCCGAAATGGGTGTGCGGGACGCATGCGGACGGCAGCCATGGGGCCTTCGGTGGAGCTCCCTGTGGGGCCACGAAACGTGTGAGGGGTGTGCCGAAATGGGTGTGCGGGAAGCATGCGGACGGCAGCACTGGGGCCTTCGGTGGAGCTCCCTGTGGGGACACGAAACGTGTGAGGGGTGTGCCGAAATGGGTGTGCGGGACGCATGCGGACGGCAGCCATGGGGCCTTCGGTGGAGCTCCCTATGGGGCCACGAAACGTGTGAGGGGTCCGCTCCGGGTGTGCCGGAAAATGGCGTGTGCGGGACGATGCTGGACGGCAGCACTCGGGCCCTTCGGTGAGCTCCCTGTGGGGCACGAAAAACGTGTGAGGGGTGTGCCGAAATGGGTGTGCGGGAACGCATGCGGACGGGCAAGCCAGGGGGCCTTCGGTGGAGCTCCCTGTGGGGCCACGAAACGTGTGAGGGGTGTGCCGAAATGGGTGTGCTGGACGCATGCGGACGGCAGCACTGGGCCTTCGGTGGAGCTCCCTGTGGGGCCACGAAACGTGTGAGGGGTGTGCCGAAATGGGTGTGCGGGACGCATGCGGACGGCGGAGGAGAGGAGGAGGAAGGAGGAAGGAGACGCGGGGCACCGTCTCTTCAAAACGAGGACCCAACACCACAGGAGGGTGTGGAAAAAGATGTCCGAGCTTAAGGGGGCGCTGCCCTGGGAAGCTGGGCAGGGGAGGGGCAGGGGGACGAACGACACGACACGACACGAAAATAAAGGTGTCCGAGGCCCAGGGGGGCTGCCCTGGGGAGCCTGGACGGGGGGGGGCAGGGGGGGGGCAGGGGGACGAACGACACGACACGACACGAAAATAAAGATGTCCGAGCTCTAGAGCACAGCTGTGCAAGAGAATAAAATAGTCGGAGCTCTTAGAGGCCCGTGGATGGGGTCGTAGTAGGCTCGGGCGGAGGGTTGTGCCGTTGCCGAATAAAAAGCGGGCGGAGAAGCAGCGCGCTGGCTGCATGGTGGTGGTGGTGGTGGGGGGGGGCGGAGGGGGGTGCCGTGCGAAATTAAAAAGGTCGGAGCGGAGGGTTGTGCCTATGCCGAATAAAAAGGTCGGGGCGAGGGTGCGCCGTGCCGAAATAAAGGATGTCGGACGGATCGGCACGACTGGCTGGTGGGGGGGGGGGAGCGGAGGGGGTGTGCCGTGCCGAAATAAAGGGGTCGGGGCGGAGGGATGTGCCCTGCCGAAATAAAGGTGTCGGGGCGGAGGGACGTGCTGGCTGGTTGGTGGGGAGGTGTGTGTGTGTGGGGGGGCGTATGGGGTGTGCCGTGCCGGAATACAGGGGTCGGGGCGGAAGGGTGTGCCGCGCCGCAACAAAGTGGTCGGGGCGGAAGGGCGCCGCCTGGCGGTGGATGGGGGGGCGGAGGGGTGTGCCGTGCCGAAATAGAAAAAGTCGGGGCGGAGGGGTGTGCCGTGCCGGAATAAAAAAGGTCTGGACGGAGGGGCGCAACTGGCTGAAGGGGTCGGGGCGGAGGGGCGCGGGCTGGTGGGTGGTGTGGGGGTGGGGCGGAGGGGGGGGGCCTTGCCGAATCAAGGGGTCGGGGCGAGGGAGTGTGCCGCTGAACGAAGTAGAAAGGGCGGGGCGGGGGGCGCAACTGGCTGGTGGGTGGGGTGGGGGGCGGGGGGGGGGGGTGCGTTGGGGCGTGTGCGGGCCGAAAGAAAGGGTCGGGGCGGAGGGGTGTCTGTGCCGAAATGAAGTGGGGCGGGGCGCGAGGGGCGCGCTGGATGGTGGGCGGGGGGAGGCGGAATGGATGGAGGTGGCCGAAATAAATGGGTCGGGGCTGAGGGGTGTGCCGTGCCGAAATAAGGGGGTCGGGGCGGGGGGCGCACTGGCTGGTGGGTGGGGGGGTGTGGGGGGAAGCGGAAGGGGTGTGCCGTGCCGAAATAAAGGGGTCGGGGCGGAGGGTTGTGCCGTGCCGAAATAAACAGGTCGGGGCGGAGGGGCGCGGGTGGGTGGGGGGGGCGGAGGGGGTGTGCCGTTCCGAAATAAAAGGGTCGGGGCGGAGGGGTGCGCCGTGCCGAAATAAAAAGGGGTCGGGGCGGAGGGGCGCACTGGCTGGTGGGTGCTGGTGGGGGTCGGGGCGGAGGGGTGTGCCGTGCCGAAATAAAGGGGTCGGGGCGGAGGGGCGCACTGGCTTGCGGGTGCTGGTGGGTGGGTGGATGCGGGGGGGGATGGAGGGTCGCGCTGGCTGGTGGAATGTGTAGGTGATGAGGGGTGTGCCGTGCCGAAGTAAAGTAGTCGGAGCTCTAGACACCCTGTGCAAGATAATAACTTGATGTTGAATACCCTCCTCGCTCAGACGGGCCTCCTTGGAGGAGTGGGGGGGGGGCACGAAACATGATACATGCTGTTCGAATGCCCTCCTCGCTCAGGCGGGGCCGTCCATGATTTCCCACTTCACTTCCTCCTCCTCTTCCTCCTTCTCCTCTTCCTCCTCCTCCTCCTCATCAGCATCGTCGTCCTGGCTGGCATGTGTATTGTCTTCTCTGTTCGTGGTCATTGCGCGGCCTACGGCCTGGCAATGGAGACATGGCGCCGTATATATTCGTATCTGTTTCTGGTAGACGTATTTTCCAGCGATGGGCGCCGTACTGAACCGTATCTAAGCATATCTAAACATATCTATTCGTATCAAAAAGGACACCGCATCTAAGATTAGAAAGAAACTATACCCCGCATCTAAAAAAGTAAGAATTCGTATCTTAACGTATCGACTCTTGAGACATTTCCATTCGTATCTAATTTTCTTCACGAAGACGCTGTAAAACACATATGATTCAGGGAGGGATGTTAGATACCATGCGGTCCTTCCGAATGCGGCTGCCGCTGGGGAAATGAGCAGCAAAACATTGATTTCTAGATGCGTCTTCCAGGGGTGAAGGGGCCCTGGGACACACAAATAAATACACACAAATACATCAATCCCCAATAGTTTCCCATAGTTTCTGGAGTTCTTGTCTTGCCCCCCCCACTTCCCATACTTTCCCGCAGTTTCCCAGATTTTCATTGGAATCGTCGATGAATTGTGTCTGTGTGCTCCAGATTTCGTAATAAAAGGGAGGGGGTCTGGACCCTCCAAGACAAGCCATTTCAGACCTCCCCCGTGGGAGAACCCTCCAAAACATCGCCCCCAGACCCCCCCGGGCTCTCCAAGACAGCCTGGAAGAGACCCCCCCCCGAAATGAGACCCCCCTCCCTTTTATTACGAAATCTGGAGTGTCTTTTTCCTCCTGAAAGGGACGCACTCCCCGAGGGGGGGGGGGGGGCTCCCCCGGGGGCGGCGCGCGGGGGGCAGGAGCCTGGAGGCCGCCGCGCCGTGCACGAGCGCCGCCCACAGCGGCGGGCGCCGCCGGCTGCGGGGGGCCGCCATCTTGGAAGCCACCGGGGGTGGCGGGCAGATCGAGGATCGAGGATCGAGGACCGAGGGGGGGGATCGAGGAAGGGGATCGAGGATCGCGGAGGAGGATCGAGGATCGAGGAGGATCAAGGGTCGAGGAGGACGCATCGTGTGCCAAGGAAGCCCTCGACCTGCACCTGCCGCACCTTCCGCGAGGCAGGTGCCGCGCCGACGCGGCCGTCGCCGCCGCCGCCGCCCCAGAAGCGGCCGCCGCGGCGGCCGCCGCCGCGGCGGCACCTTCCGTGCGGAGGGTGCGAGGGTGCAGGTCGAGGGAGGCACCCATATCGCTGTCTGTCCCTCGCTTCCGCCTGTGTGAGCCTTCTGGGAGGCCCTCGCCGCCACCGCCGGACTCGCTTCGAGATTGTGGCTACGACGCGCCCTGGGAAAAGGTCTGGGGAGTAGTGGCATCGGCACCTCTTGTCGGGTGTTGCTAGAAGTACCCCTGGCCCAAGGTACCCCCAGGATTCTCGGGGTGGCCCGGGCGGCCTCCAGAGCACCCCTCACGAGGCCCAGAGGGCCCCAGGGGCTCCAAATTGACCGAAAAGCTTGGGGCACCTTGGGCCAGGGGCACTTCTAGTAACACCCGATCTTGTTTTCCCCAGGAGCGAAAGCGCCCCTCGACCTGCACCTGCCGCAACTTCCGCGCGGCGGGTGCCGCGCCGCGGTCGCAACGGCGGTTTCGATGGCCACCGTGGCCACGGCAACCTCTCCCGCGCGGAAGTGGCGGGTCGAGGGCCATAGGACACCTGTACACACATATGTATATATATATATTTATACATATGTATATATATATGTGTATATATATATATATGTATATAAACATGTAGATATAATATATATTTACATATCTATGTTATATATATATATAGATATATATATATACTATAGATATATAAAAACAACTGCGCGGATGGAGGGCGGTTCCTTCTCACCAACTACAAAACTGGAGCACTCGCGTGGGGCTTCCTGGAGATTGACGGCCAACTATACAACCGTGTAAAATATCTGAACGGGGGGGCGGTTCCTCTTCGAGACGGGACTATCGCTGGGCACCTCGTTCGATTGTTCAAGTACACCTTTTGTTCTATCCTTGTCACTCGCTAGGAACATGCAAGGCCAATCCTGTTCGACGCACGGCTGCCGCCTGAATGGCAAGCCAATAGGGCGCTCGTCTTGCAAGGGGGCGCCTCTTGCAGCGGAGAGGACAACTTGTAGCTATTTGTGAAGAGGGGACTCGGGACGGGAGGGTGTCTGTCAACATCGTTGACACAGTCTGGATTTACTCTGGCCCTTTTCCTCCTGTTCCTCCTCCTCCTCCTCCTCCTCCTCCTCCTCCTCCTCCCCCCCCCTGGTCCTGGCACCTCCTCCTCCACCACTCACTTTCCTTACATCTAATTCCTCCCTGTCGCACCACCAGACGTGTCCATAGGCCCGGCTGGGCGTTTCGCTGGATTTTTCCTCGCCGGCTATGACCCTGAAGCTTGAAATTCGCAACATTTGCAAAGATGGAGGCGGGCTCGTTTTCAAAATGCGGTTGTTGCCCGAGCGCCGCGCGCATTCGTCATGGAAACCTGCAACAGCTTCAAGGATGGAGGCCGGTTCGCTTTCAAACTGTGGTTCTCGCCTTAGCGCCGCGCGCATTCGTCTTCAAAACTTGCAACACTGACTTCAAGGATGGAGGCCGGCTCGTATTCGAAGTGTTGCTCTCGTTTCACATGGCGCATGTCCACACGACCCGACCCGCACCATCTCATGCAGAAACACGATTCGGTGCACATCCATCTGGCCCAGCTCTCACCATCCTGCGCAGCAACAACAACAATATTCAGCTCACATCCGTACGACCCAACCTTCACCATCCTAGATCAACAAGCGCAGGTCGTCGCACATCCACATGACCCAGCCCTTATTTTTTCCCCGGAAATACTCGGTGCACGTCTGGCCGGCCCGATCCTGGCCATTCCAAGCGACAGAATACAATTTTGTGTACACCCATACGGCCCAACTTTATTCCATCTTACAAATTTAGCCCGGCGCGCATCCATCCGACCTACCCCTCACCATCGTACGCGACATGTGCTTATTCGGTACACATCCATCCGACCGGGCCCCCACCATCCCAAGGAACAAACGGCGTTCGGTGCGCACGTGCTGATCTTCAACGTCTGCCCACCTCCTGGGCCCGAAGACCCCCAAAGCGCAAAAACGCAAACACAAACAACACATCGATAGCAAATCCACAATCAATCGATGCGTTTCGCCCACCCCCCGCCGACTCGGACTTTAAACTCAAGCGCTCCCCAGGCTGCCCCAGGCGCTCCCAGACGCGCCCAAGCGCTCCCAGACGCTACAATCCCTCCCGAACGCTCCCAGGCTCGCCATCGCCAACAGCAGCAACAGCATCCACATCCTCATCTTCATCGTCCCCGTCGCCGCAGGCGGCCTCCAGGCAGAGATGGATTCTGATCGCGTTGACGCGTGGACCACAGACGGTTTTCACAACGGGGCTCTCGCATTGCTGGCGCCGCACGCCGTCGTTTTACACGACCAAAGGAAGGACAGAGAGCGGGAGGGGCTCTCGCCCTGGCCCCGTGCACGCTCGGCACACACACGCACTTTCCTCAGCCGCACGGGTGGACAGCGAGTCCCTTCCAAGACGGTTGGGGCATTGGACAAGGCACCCTCCGATAAATACTCCAGGGTCTGGAGGCCAGAGGGAATCCAAGCGTGGATCGGCCATGGATATCACCGCCAACTTCATCAGGGGGCTGCAACCTCTTGGGCACATTGCTCAACGAACGCCCACACCGTCACTTTTGGGGTCTCCCCTTGGCCTCGCGCGCATTCGAATATAAAGTCCACCATCTACACTCACTTGAACCTTCCTCGATCTCTACGACCGGCCTTCCATGTTGTGCAACAACTACCACGGATGGAAGGTGAGCGTTTTCTATATTCGGCGTTTCGACCTTGGGCGGAAGGGGGGAGAGGGGGGGGGTCTGGCTCCGGACCTCTGCTTAGTGCAGTGCGACTGTTTGCAGCAGGCGTCCATCATGAGGGAGGCTCCGCCTGCTCGAAACAGGCGCCAAAAACAGCCAAGATCCAGTCCATGGAGGGGGGAGGGGGTGTGCGAGGGCCCGCGCCGATCGGCAAAAGAATCAGAAAAAACGATCTGCAGGCGGTTCCTGTTTCGAAGCGAGGCCCTCGCGCGGGACTTCCGCGAAGCAACGTTGCACCAGAGAAAAACCCCAATCAAGGGATGGTGTGAGATGGGATCAAGGAAGAGATCGATGAGGAGATCGACCGGGAACCCGGGAACCCGGGAACCCGGAACCCCACCGAAATCGGCCCGGAACCAATACACGTCGGTCGGAAGAAGCAGGTAGAACCATGAAGTAGGAGGGCGGATGTAGTGGATTGGGTCCAGGTCCTCCTAGAGAATAACAAACCACAGCAGAAGCAGGTGGATTCTTGAAGCAGGAAGGCGCTTGCAGTAGATTGGGATCTGGGAATCCAACAAGACCTACTTTCAACGACCGGCGCGTAATCCGTGCCCCCTGTCATCCATGTCTGCGATCGCCTGAGCTCCGGCGGGTGGCGGGCACGGACCTCCGAGAGTGGGGCCACCCTGGGCGTCCTTTTCAAGTGGAGGGAGAGACCCTTTGCAAAAGGCGCCGCTCGTCAGACTCTGGCGGACTGGACGGATGGCGGGCACGGGCTCCTCGAAACGGGGCCACCCCTGGGCGTCCTTTTCAAGTGGAGGGAGAATCCTTTGCAACAGGCGCCCTCGTCGGACTGGCGGGCCAACCGGCCGCTCGCCATTCCGGGGGGGGGCGACCGCAGTGGAAAGGAAGACCTGTGCGGACTCCTGAGAAGGGGGCTTGTGACGGGAGGGCGTGTCGCGGCATCGGCTGATACACCTCGGGCTTGCTCTGGTCCCCCTCCTCATCTGAAGGGGCCCTGGGACACGCAAGTGAATGCACACAAATAAAAGGATGTCCCATATTTTCCCATATTTCCAGGGTTTGTGTCTTCCCCCCACTTCCCATTTTTCCCATGTTTTCCTGGGAATCGACGAGGCCTTGTGCCTATGTGTCTTTTCTCCCTCCTGATCATCCTCCTCCTCCCCCTCCTCCCGAGCGTGCTCTTCCCCCGCGGAGGGAAGCGAAGGATGGGGCCGGGAGGGATGGGGGGAACGGAGCGGAAGAGAGAGAGGGGAGCGGGCGGAGGAGAGGGGGCAGGGGCGCGGGGGGAATGAGCTAGCAAAAAGAGAACTATACACATACACCGATTCTGGCCAGGCCCATCCTGGGGCCAAGGATGGGCCTGGCCAGGACCGGTGCACGTGCATAGTTCTCTTCGCCCGATGAGCGAGAGGGGATGATTGGGGGGAGGGGGCAGGAGAGGGAGGGGACGCAGCGGGGTTCGGCTGTTCCCAGAGGGAGGGAGAAGATCGGCGAATCGCAGCACGCAGCTAGCTTTCCCCCCCTGGTATTAGGTCGGGCATATCCCCCTACAGGGGGACTTTGGGCGAAAAAAAAAACTGCTCCCACATAGTCAACAAATGCTCAAAACATCGTCCCTGTATTATCTTATGACTATTTGGGAATATCCCTCCTGTAGAGGGACAAGCCCGACTTAAGCCTCATTCCACCGGCCTTGCAGACGTGCTGCAGCGGACTCCTGCGTGGATGCAGCAGGGTTTGCATGCGTCCCCCCGCACATTTCGGCACACCCCTCCCGAGGATCGTGGCCCCATAGGGAGCTCAACCGAAGGCCCCAGCGGCAGGGTTTGCATGCGTCCCCCCGCTGATTTCTCCACACCCAACACGAGGATCGTGGCCCCATAGGGAGCTCCGCCGAAGGCCCCAGCGGCACGGTTTGCATGCG